CCTGAATTTTGTCTATCATAATATAAAAATGGAAATAAGAAATACTAGTGCTTTAAAAGGAATATCTATATACATAACAAGAAAGACAATCGATTTCTCTATGTCACAAATTAAAAATTTGTGACATACTCCACCTCCTGTATTTGGACCCCTTATGTCCCCAAGTTTTGCTAGATTAGGTATCAAGGTCAACCCGATTTTGTAGTTTAAAGTTCTGAATTAATACTAATATATATAACGTTTCTTTAGGTCGAAGAATAAGGCGAACATCTCCTCCGGGATCAAAGATTTGGGCAAATGAAATGCATGACCAGCACATTAATAGGTATAGAGACCACTTTTGTTGCATTCTTCATTATTCTAGCTTCCTTTTCCGCTACAAGCAAATCATTAACTCGCCCGTTATCTATCTGATATGTACTACTATTACTATCTACCATTTTTCTTTTCCTATTATTATCCATTTTACATGCTACAACCACACTTTTACTTTTATCATTTTTAACACCTTTATTCATGCCATTCTTAATTTCTACTATTGATTCTTCAAACCGATCTTTTGATTGCATATTATTACTTTCGGTTTTATCCTCAAGTTCCGCAGATTTCAAAACGCATTCATCTGCCATCCATTCGTTCCCGATCATGCCTATGCCATTTCGAAAGCAAGATCCAGGGTCGTTTTGACCAGTTAGGTTATCGCCTTCAGAGTCCTCGTGCAAGTCTGGAGGCGTTGCTTCTCCCTCTTTCTTATTGGGGTCAACTAGCCCTTGATTTTCAACTATATTCTTCAATTTTCCTTCTTTGTCTTCGAATGCCTTTACATCCTCTGATTCAATTTCTAGCGCCTTATTTAAATCAACAATTGATTCGTCGAAACTATTACGGCAACAAATCTTCCCTTGATTACTTAACGCAGGTGCATTAAACTCATTATCAGTTCTTTCACGAAGAAGGTATGTTTCACTTTTTCTAATCGCTTCTTTATCGCTGCTACCATCGTCATATAGTATTTCCTTATCACTAATAGGTTCTTCTAACTTATATTTTGTTTTTTCATTCGTCTCATCAAAATTCGTCTTCCCACCGTCATCTTTTCCACTATCATCCGCATCTTCAATATCTTTCGAATACCGCTCATCCATATTCCTTTGTTTAACCTTGTCACTTCCATATTCATTCTTATGCGCATCGTCGCTTATTTCAACCGGGTCACCAATCTTGGTGGAGTTTTGATAACTAAGGGACGACCTACAGTTTTCACTAAATCCTTCTTGGTGGGACCAACCATGGTCTTGCGTTTCGCTAGCAGTATCCATCTCAGCCGATTGTTGATAAATAAATGCCTTATTTTCGTCCTCTTTAGTCTCTTTACCGGTTTCATAATCTCTAACATCTTGAATTCTTTTATTCCCTTTATCGAAACCTTGATAATGGACGAATACATTAGGCTCATACTTTTCAACTCGTCTTTCAGCTCCAATATTCGAACCACCATCGGCATCATCTTCGAAATCTTTCAAATAATCGAGGTAAATATCGTATTCATCATTTTCTTCTTCTTCAGCTTTCTTAACACCAATTCCTTCTTCATAACTCATATTAGCAGGTTCTTTATAATATTCGAATACCCGATGTTCATCCTTAATTCCAATTCCATTTTGATAACAATAACCAGCATTATTCGTTTTACTGGCATTCTTCATGTCGGCTGGTTTTCGATACACGAAGGTTTCGTATTCGTCCTTTTCATCTCTTACTCCATTTCGATAACAATAGCCAGGTTTGTTTGTTTCCTCAACATGACCGGAGTGACATTCTTTTTTTTCAATTTTGGGCGGGCAGGTATTTTTAGGTTCGGGTAACCAGGTATCCAAGTCTTCGAGATAGCCGTCGATTAAATCATCCAAATTTACTTCCGGGCCAACTCTGGAACCATTATATGATTTAAGTGTTGGGGTTGCGGCTGGTGGACTTGACTTTGCTGAGTGGACTTTTTTACCAGAAGCCTTGATATACGGAGGTGATCGTGTTGTTTCTTTTATTCCTAACTTATCCACTGTTATTATATTTTTTAACACTTTTAATGCAAACTCCAAGATCTCGGGGATTTGCTTATCATCGGTAATTACAATAAAACTTTCATTTATTATTTCTTGGAACTCGTCAAGCTGTTTTGAGGTAAGCGTTTTAAGAAGTGCATTGCACTTTTGACCTAAACGTTTTACGTCCGGACATTCAAGAACGGAGTGGCCTTTTATTTGACATCGGGGACATTGTTTCTTGGGAGTAGGTTGTGAATATACTCTTTCATCGGGCTCATCAACGTATCTATTGTACTGCCGAAAAACTTGAGAATGTTGTTGCTGTAGATGCTGAGGACGGACAATAGGAGTTGGACAGGGGTTTTCCCAGTATCTTGGGGTTCGATATGAGGTGTTTTGCGTTAGAGGTTGGTGTGATATACCTTGACTTTGAGTGAGTGCAGTTTATAATTGTTGAATTAATTGAGCAAGTTGAATAATAAGGTTGGATGACGGGGTAGGTTGATTGAGGTTGTTCATTATAAAACTATGGGTACATTACGGGCAAGTGTGAGACACATACGAGAACTTTACGCTATATACTTTAATTGAATTACTAATAACTGCGGGATAATAACGGAAACTAAGGGATCTTTAACAATGTGTTTTACTATAATCAAAAGATTTTTATAAGACAGCTACGGGAAAACAATGGGATTGCTACGGGATAATGTTAACCCACACAATCGGCACCAAATGTAACTATTAATTCGGGAGAGAACTAAAACTAACCCGATTTACTCTAATAGCTACTGGGAGATAGGCTCTGATTTACTTTAATAAAGGTCTCTTCAGCTCTACACTAGCTTACTTCCTTTATTATCTTAAGTAAAGTCGAAGGGAATCTCTCTCTTCTATTATAAGACAAATTCGGGGGAAATCTTCTCTCCTTTATTAAAATTCAAAAGATGGCGCTTATATACATTTTAGTTACTATCTTACACATTAACGTGT